AATTATCTTCAATGAATAATTTGAGTCAACGAATTTTTCTGGGGATCTAGAACGTTTCACGATTAATTGATCTCTCTCCCTCTTTATATATGTATTTGCATGTATGCGTTTGTGTGTATGATGTATCTATATTTAGTTTCTTGTATAGTTCTTTTTGCTTAATTTTTACAAGGATTCTAAAAATATACAATAATAGCTGTCATAGCGAAACACCCTGTTCAATAATATTGTGACTTATATTATTAATTGTGAAACTTTCAAATGTAATAATTTTCATTTCAGAGAAGGATAGCCTCTTGACAAGATGTTTTGATCGATGGGGTTGCCTTTCGATTGGTGAACCATTTTTCTCCTCCCTAAGGCCTATAAGTTTATTTCCAATTCATCCGGATGCTCTGGACCCTCAATTCCTTTTGGTAACACGATCTGCTCCAGATATTTTCCAGAAAATACGAGTTGGAAATAATTCGAGCTTTTCACAGTCTTTTTTTGATCCCTTGCGACCCGTCAAGATTATTCTTCATGGTTTTAGAGAAAGTGGATATCAGGACTGGATTAAGGTGGGTCTTATATTTATTGCTTTCTTCACTTTTTTCCTTTAAAAAAATTTGAGTTTAGATGTTTTTTATCAAATGATTAAAAAAATAAACACTGAGTCCTGTAGAAAAATATCCTGAGTGAGTTTATTGTGAATTGTGACCCCATGTTCTATGGTGAGTTTTTATCCTTTTGATGTCTCATATCACTCCTATGAATGTGGAGGTAGAATTTTGGAGCATTGTAAATAAATAAAATAAATAAATAAATAAATAAATAAAAATAACAAATGTGCAAAATTGCAAAAATTTAACTTGTAAAAATTTTTTTTGAATATTTTTTTTCTTAAAAAGTGTATTTGATAAAATATTTTATATCAAACATATTTTTAAAAAAATATTTTAATATTCAATGTTTGATTTTTTAGGAAATTCATTTTTTTTTTGAAGAAATATTTTGAAGCTATTGCTATCTAGCAACAAACATACTTTCACGATAACCTACTAAAATTCGATTTTTTAGAGTGGAATGATATAAAAAAATTCTAACAGGAAAAGATAGGTAGTTTATTGATGTATTTTCCTAGATAGCCTACCACTGATGTTTAAAAATTCTCTATACAGGGAGTTCGAATCTAATTTACGAGCTTCATATTATAGTTTTTTTTTTACAAAGACTTTTTTAAGAGCCATTATTTTGAACTTCAGACAATGTTTGATAGTTTTGTTTTTTGATTGGTTGATTTTTTAATGTTAAAGCAGGGTATTAAAAATGAATAGTATACAAGTTAGAGCTCCTGAAAGAATTTTCTCTCCTTTGTAGAAAGTTTCAAAGTTCAAAGTAATTTCTTTAGAAGATAAATAAAATCTTAAGAGGCTTATCTGAGAAAAGCAACAACAACAAGTTTTATTTATCTAAATTATTTGTACATCGCTTGCCTAGTAATGGGAATGCACACATTTTCACTGGCATTGTTGTTTTTCAGAGTTATGCGCTGTTAAAGTTAGTGAAAATGGGGTTTTTCGCGTTTTCTGCCCTGAAAATCTTGATTAAACAGTGGCTCCCCAATAATTTCTTTACTGAATATTAAAGCACACTAATAGGGCAAGTTTTGTTACCCAGCACTTTCCTAAGTTATAGATGCTTTTAGTAGATATAGCCACTCAAACTTTCAAAAAAATCCAAAATCTAACTTTTTTATTTAGTTTGTCTCAAAACAACTTTGGCACTCAAAACCATCCTAACTATTCCCTATTTTGGCCTATTCCGTCAATCAACCTCAAAACCAATTCCATCTTGTAGGTAAAAGTAGCTACTAACACGTGGTAAGGAAAAATCAGTGGGACCTTGTCCCAATTTCATTCTTGTCCCAATTTCTTCTTGACCATTTTCAGTTTCTTGTCCCATTTAATTATTATCAATAATTATTATAAATAAATTTTTGACAATTATTTATTATTATTTATTTATTATTAATTAATATTAAAAATTTTTTTTGAATGATGATTTTAGGTTTCAAATGAGTAACTTTGCTTTTTCTAGTACATAATAGTTCTAAGAATGGTCTGAAACTTTTTAAATCTAAGCTTTGTTATCCTTTCGTTCAAATAAATTGATAACGAAATAGTTTAGTTAGCTCTTTTCCTCTTTTTATCCTAGTTGTCACCATCCTGCAAAAGAGAAATTGTTGTACATTATTAGATGACTTCATCATCTTATATCATTTATTTTTTCTTATTAGTTTGCATCATACACCATTTATATTTTTATATTGCACACCATTTATATTTTTATATTGCACATCGTTTATTTTATATAATGTGAAATGCTTACCACTACAAGAATAAAGTCTATTTAGTCGCACATATTCTTCTACTAAGTTCTTCAGATAAAGTACAATTGAGCGAATATTTCATTCTTTTTTTACGCTTAGCGTTCAGAAAAAAAGTTAAGATTGTTAAGCCAGTTTAATAATTGAGCAGGAAAATATTTGACGATGAGAATTCGTCACTAACTAGGATCAGATGTTTTCTGTTCTGCTTCCTCGAGTTTCTTTCCCTCTCTTTTTCGAGAATGTTTATACTTGTATAGTTTTTTGCTAACAATTTTTTTAAACCTTTTTGCTCTTGATACATATGGGCCATTCTCAGAAAAAAGTAGGTATTCCTGTCTTAAATTCCTTCGTGTGAAATTTGTAGTATAATTAAATTTTTTATAAATAATATAAATCTGTTATTAACCTTCATGCACTTTATAGAATATATTAAACACATATATAAATAAAAAATTATTAAATGTACTGTTAAAAACATACCCGTAGATGTAATTTACCACATCTTCTGACAGACTTTTCGAGTATCTGAATTAACCCACTAACGTTCAGCCACAAAACTAATTTATACATGGAAAACACACACAGTAAAAAAGAGGTGGTTCATATTTATTTATATTAAGCGGATATTTCTTATCTACTTTCGTCTTAAAAAGTATTAAGCCATGATTCCAGATTCAAGTATGAATATTTATATTTTTAATTTACAATGGCTGAGAGGATTACTTTGCTTTTCAAATTATTTTCTAATAATACAACACTAGTGTTATCACTTTGTTTTGGAAAAAAGGAACTGTCCCTTCTAAAAGGACGCTAGGTACAATTGGATCAACATAATTTTTTTTGTTTAAAACTAATTTCAATAACTCCGAAAAATCGATTAATTTAAATTATCTTTATGTAGTGGTGCTCAAAATAATTATAAATAAAATTTGTTTAAAAAAATAGAAATTTTAAAGTATGTATTTAGGTTTTAAACTTTTAAAAGAAAATTTTTCGCTAGAAATGGCAACTGTTGAACAAATGAATTTTCGGCAACTATGTATCTACTTTTAAGCTTTTGGCTATTTTTTTCTACAGGCAGAAATAAACTTGTCACTCAATTCAATTAGGTTCGCTGATTAAATGATTCGAGACATTTTTAGTTTAAAGAATTTAAAGATTAAATCAGTTATCATTTTCCAAATCTTAGTTTTAGATGGATCAGTGTCTAAAATGCAGAAAACAATGCTTTCGTCACGTCTTTGGACATAATATGTCAACTGATGAAGCATTGTTTACGGATGGGTTGACTTTTATAAATTAACTAGAGCAGCCAATATAACTACAATTTAAGTAGCCTAATTACGCAAAAATTATTTCAACAAGAAGTTAAAAAAATTATACACAGTTTATTACATTTTTATAAACTCGTTTTTGAGAGTATGATGATGGCATTTTGTAAATAGAAATTTTTAGTGCAACACTGATCAGACAAAAATTTTGACTACTCTGAGACTGAAGTTTCTATCGTGTCCTGGACACAGCGATCAAATTTTAACGTCATTTTATCGCCTAATGGAACTTATCGTTAATTAAAATTTTCACCCATCTTATAAATAGACGACTAAAATTTCAGTTGTAATACCTCTGTGTTTGATGACAATGTAAGGTTCATTTTCTGATCGTTATTGTTATATTATCACCAAAATAGTTTATAACAAATCAAAATTTTTACCACTTTTTAACTAGTTAGAATTTTAAATTTTTACCGAAGATTTGAGATGGAAGAATTCAAGTTTCAATGGTCTCCTGTACAGAGCACTAAAAAAAAATGGACCACCCTGAATAATTTTTGATCCAATAATCGGATCTTCACATTCTAGGACTCAATCTTAATGGCCTTGAGGGGGTGACCTCAGATATTTCGAACAAATTAGTGCAGACGATGTTTTAAGTTACGAAATTCGACACAAAAACATACCTTCTCTGAATGCTTTTTTTTGACGGACTCTGATTTCTGACCTCCAAAATATAGGGGGTAGCCACAATTTGGGAAATATGGTCCAAACAGTTTGATCAGGAGAACGCTTCTAATTTTAAACCCCTTAATGTTAATTTTACTTTTTGCGTATTTCGTTATATCACGGAAGCTTTTCAAGCGAATTGAAAATTTTTTGCACGCAATTATAAAATTTGTTTACCCAAAGATAATTCTGTACAAAAAATAAATTGTGGAAAGATTCATTATTTTTTTTGATAGTAGTCGTAAAGTTGGCAAATATGATGCTTGAAAGGTGGTGTACAAAGTGGTGTTATATGTATAAGAGCTTTAGAATTATTTCTATGTGGTGGTAGGTAAAACGACTTTACTTTGAAATCAAAAATATACAGGTCTGAAAAATACTTCGCTTTTAGCAAAATATTTTATTGAGTGGAAGCAATTAAAAACCGAAGCTTTCAGAATTTTTGGTAATTTTGCCAACATTTTAAAAGCCTCACCATGAAAGTGCAAGTACAAAGTGGTGTTCTACATGAGCTTTTAAATCATTTATATATAGTGGAATGGAAAATAAGTTAACATGTTGAACACCATAGGGGTCACCGGTGACCGGCAAAGCCAAGATTATTAGGAACACATAATTCGAGGAAATTTTTAATTTTTTTACATTATTATCGTTACTAAAATGGCTTGGAGAAATTAATGCAATACAGAATACACAGAAATAGTTTTATTTATATACACAGATAAGCCAACTTGCTCCGGACAGCGAATAGATATTTTCAAGTGGCAGTTTATTAATTGTGATTCTTGGTTTAATAAATTCAATTTAGTAGATTTTTATCCACCACTATTTCTAAATAATTCGTAGGCTTATATAATTCACCACTTTTTTTCAGATATGTCATATATATCTTTTAAGAAACTAGCAAAATCTGTCTAATATTTGCAAATTTATTTTGCAGTTATTTACCATGTGACCAGACGGGCAAGCCATGTAAAATTAGCGTGGCATGCAACGTGTTAAATGAATAAAAAATAATACATTAAAACATAAACATACCTAACACAAGAATAAATTTTTACAAAAAGCTTACGAAAGCAAAGTTGGCAGGCTTGCATATAAGAACAAAATTCGGTCAACTGGAAAAGATTTCTTTCACAAAGTGAAGTAAGTTGACATTTTTGTAGGTCTTTCATTTATAAAGAAG